CTCCTATAGAAATCATATTAAAACAAAGATATATACTAACCTTCCCCATCTTTTTGAACATTTTTGAAAAAGCTTCAGGGAGCCACAAGGGCAGCGCTACAGAGCCGCGGGTTGCTGACCCCCGGCTTACAGTAACCATGTGCTCTTCACCATACACAGTTCATCTGCTCGTGATCTTCCTTCATATAACTGTGTCATGTTTGGTGTCATTTGACAGTTTATGACTTCAGCTTTGTAGTGATGAAATCAACAGAGACATTGTTTGATTGTATTTCAATGTACAGTGTATTTACTATTGTTAGTCATGCCTGTATGTAATGTACTTCTCCCCCATTTTATCTCCTCAACTTTGTTCTCATGTTCAGCTGGTCTTGGGGGTTGGTTTTCACTCATGTTTGACGATGCTTTGGTCAGGGTATAATAAGGAAAGTTACCTGATGATCTGGGAGAATGGTTTTTACTCTGCATCTCCCGCACATCGAAGCGTAGCCTCATATGCTAACAAAGGCAGTTTCACTGTCTTTGTTGCTCAGCAGTGCACATGTTACAGCTAATTTCTTTATGCAGTATGCTAGTTTGTTTCATTCTACTGTCTGTCTATTTAAGCATGTAACTTAATAAACAACTTTGCCTGCTTTAAGCTTTGAGATTCGTTCTCTTTATCAACGATTATAACAACTTTAATGGAGTCAGATTAATAACAATGGAGTCAGATAAATAATGGATTTAAACACGCCATCCTTCAACTGCTTGCTGTTTCTGACTATTGGTTCAGAATAGCAGCGTAAGCTTCAAGCCTCACACTCCCAAACGACAATCAAGCAACCTTTTGTTTTGACTAAAGCCAATGTGAAGATGCTGGACTTTAGCGTTGTGTGTAGTAATGAGCAAACAGAACACAAACGCAGAACATTTCATAGGTACGATTTAATTTTTTATGTTTTTGTATTTTACAAACTTTTGTTCAACAAGTATCGACGATAAAAGTCTCTTACTGCACTGACCATAAGGCAAAGCAGCACCAGCTTGCACTAAATTCTAGGCTTATGCTAGTTTTGGTGAATAAAATAAGCTAACATTGTAAATATGACAACAAGACGCTGCGGTGCCAAAAATTTCTAAATAGTTTAATGGAGATAAAAAATATTTGAATGCCTTTAAATAAATAAATAATTCATGCCATCCTTCAACTGCTGATTATTTCAGAATAGTGGGGGAATACCAGCCAAACACTACAACATCATGTAACTAGAACCTAAAGTTCGTTGACGAACTTTGATGTTGGCTTGAGAAAGCCAACGTGACTGCGCCGGGGACTCGAAGGCAGTTGGCAGGAAGCACAGCGGTTGAGAAGTGGTTGCTAGGCGGTTGCTAAGATGTTGCTAAGGCATTCCTAGGTAATTGCTAGGGTGTTCTGAGTGGTTTCTAGGCTGTTGCTAGGGTCCACTGGACTGTTAATCGGAAGGCCTCATTTACATTTTTGATCAAATCGAGAGAGAGAGAGAGAGAGAGAACTGATTTGTTCAGGTTGTTTAATGCAGATCACTATAGTATAGTTAGTATTTATAGTATATATTATAATCTGAACAAAATTACATTATAATAAATATCATATAAAGAAAAATATTAAATTAAAATACTAATGAAACAATAGCACATAAATTTAGTTAATTTGTCTTTTATTTAATCAGTCTTATCAGTTTTGCAGTTAATATAGAGTACAGTCAATTTACCTTAATTTGCAGCGTTATATATATAGTTATAGTTATATAGTTATATACAGTTTACAGGAAGAAAATCGCATTAAATACAATATTAGGCCATCTTCATCACGTGGTTAATTCTGACCAATGACGTTGTTTCACCCCACTGGCCACTAACACAATGTTATAATCGTAATATTTAATTGTCATCACCTGGGTGATTGTTTTTTTTTTGGTACAGCATAGGCCAAAAGCTTGGCTTTCATTGTCATTATCACAAGTGAGGAGAAGGCTCTTTTGCGGTACAGAATATTCTGTTTTGAAAGAAATATCTGAAGTAAACTTATGTTTTTGCCAACATAAAAGGGGGATAAAAAATAATCCTTATAACCCTAACCATAAATGTGTGTGTGTGTATGTGTGTATATATATATATATATATATATATATATATATATATATATATATATATATATTTACACACACATACACTATGCATGAGTCTATTTAATTTCTCTATGAGCTGTTATCACTACTGCAACAAACACATGTACAGCCTGCATGACAAGTGTTACTATAATCCTTTTTTACCTTCACTTCAGTCATCAGCAAATAACCATAATGAGGCATTTAGTAGCTTGTTTACTCATATTACCTTTGACACACCCTACACTCCTGTTTGCCTGCTTCACTTTTTGTTTCCTCTCTCTTCATCCACATCTGATATTTTTATGCTTGAATGAATGATTGAGTGCACAAACACATGCAATTACTATTTAACCTCTTGTTGTGTACACAATAAAAATGTCAGTGGGGACCCTTTATTTACCTGCTTTTTAAAATATAGTAAAGAAACTCCTTTGTGACCCTGGATG